CCAATGATCAATCGTGAAGGAATTTAGTAAATAGTTGTTCCAGGAGACGCGTGACTATTTATAATATTCTTTGTCATTGAATGAAAAATGACCAAACAGAAAATGGACCGAAATGAGAATCAATTAAAAAGGACCGAAACGAGAAGGGACCGAATCGAGGATATCCCATGCGAAATCCAAAGTATCTTATGCGCTGTAAACTTGTTTAGTTAGTATTTGTTTTACAATAGTTTGTCAATTTTTAAACTGAAAAATAGATTTTTAAAACGTATTATTCCTAATTATGAATCTACTTTTATCATCCTGAAACTCGATAACAAAGGAAATATGATGATTATCGTTGACTTTAGTCAAATAATTGAATAGAAAATTTAAATATTCATACCATCTTCATTCGTTCGTACTAAATCAGCTTCACGTATTGGTCCATCTCCATTAATATTAAATATATTAATCATAATTTTATAAAAAGTAAAAGGAATAAGATTATCCAAAATGACATTTGATTCATTATATGATGTAATTAAATTTTTTTCTTTATTTGTTTCATTAGCTGCTATCCATCGTATTCGATAATTCATCGATGGTAATATATGATTAATATTCCATTGAATTAATATTTCTGTTGAACTTAAAACAGTAACATTTACAGAATTAATTGATATATGAGTTGGTGCAGATGATTGTATATGAAAATAATGTGCAAATGAAAGTGGCCCATCACCAATTGGATTATTCAAACAAATATATAAAACATGAGTATCATTCATGTTTGAATCTTTACATAGATTATTCAAACGTATAGAATAATCTTCATTAATTGAATGATAACTTTTTTGAAATATATTTTCATTTGAAATTGATTTCATTAAAACTTTTAAACGAGTATTATTATTATCAAATGAACCAAAATTCTTTAATAACAAAAAAAACAAAAAATGATAGAAATTGAAAAACAAAACAAAAAACGATTCAATTGTTGTTTACTTTAAGATAAATATCAATTTGACATGGTTGATTTGTTGATATATAATCAATTTTTGGTTGAATTAATGGTACTAAATAAAATTAGAAATAGAATAAATTGTATTCATATGTGATTTAAACCAAACAAAAGTCGTCGGTAGAATGTTCGATAGAAAGCGTGCTATACACACTGTAGTAATCAATCGGCGTTAATTTTATACTAAAATAGTCGACTGTCTTCTGACAACTATTGTTGAGGAGCTATCAGGATTTATTAATTTTTGGCGATAGTATGACGAAACATATAACATGAGTATTTTAATTTTTATTCTTACCGTTTTCTTTTGTTCGAATATAATTTGTCGCACGACTATAATCACTTATACCCATATCATTTTGTGATGCTAATCGAAAACGATATTTTGTATTTGGTTTTAAACTAAAAAAAAAAAGAATCTTTTTAAAAATCAAATAAAAAAAATAATTTTACTTTTCAATGCGTAGTTTTGTTATTTGTCCATCAGGTTTATTAATTGAATCATAGGACTTCCATGATGGTGTATGTTCTTCTTCATATTCAAGTAATGAATATCTTATTGGTGCATAATTAAAATCTGAATCTTTACGCCATGTTAATATTATACTTGTTGAATTAATTGAAGATTCAATTATTGTTGGTGGATGAGGAGCAGCAGGTCGATCTAAAACAAATTTTTCATATACAAAATTTCTTATATTTTTGTTTGTAAATAAGAATTTTTTGAAAATTTTATACCTCGTTTTTCCATTGTTAATAAACGATTAATACTTGTTTCACCACAACCTATTCGAGTTTTTGCACATAGAATAAATGTATATGGAGTTGTTTTTTCCAGATCTGAATAATTTAAAAAAAAAAAATTTTTCAATAAATGAAATTTAATATTCGAAATGAGAATAGGCGATACAATAAACAATGATGTTGACTATCCATAAACTTAATACTATAAGTGATTTAACGCCTAACATTATTTATTATTTTCTTACACCTATAAACTTACTTTCAACTAAATAAGAATTTGTTTTACTGGTTAAATTATCAATTTCAATACGTGTTTGTTCATCATCTGAACGCCAATATACAAGTCTATAACCAATTAGAATTCCATTTAGTTTTGTTGGTGGTTGCCATGTCATTCTTGCAGACCAATGATCAACATCAGGAAAGAAAACTTCAGTTGGTTTTGAAGGAACTAGAAATATTTTCATTGTAAAAAAAGATATTAAAAAACAAAAAACAGAAAACTTCAATACACACCACTTTCATGTGTAATAAATATAAATGATTGACTATATTCACTACATCCACTTGATGTACATGCACTTATTGAACATGAATAATTCGTATAACCATCAAGTTTATTTAAAATATAACTAATCAATGAACTATTATTCGAATAATCAATGTTATGAATTATTTGCGGTGATAATAATGAAAAATACATTATCTAAGTAATATAATAATGGAATAAAATTTATTATTTTTATTTAAAAAAGATTAATTTTACCTTATAATTAGTAATAAAACCACCTTGATCAAGTGGATTTAATGAATTCCAATGAATTCTAGCAGATGTTCCATTTATTGAATCAATTCGAATATTTGATGGTGGATGAAGAGGTACTAAAATTTTTTATCCCAAAAAAATTATTTAATATATATATCTATATATTTATACTAACCATTTTCAAATGTTTTTTCAATAGTTTCTATTGAAATTTTACTCATACCAATACGATTATAAGTATGTAATCTAATAAGAAATAATGTATTTGCTGGTGATAAATTATTAAATATAAATTCGGTTTTTAATGGATCTTCAATTTTAATATTTCTTCCTATGGAATCATTGATTGATAATATATAACCAATATCCTTTCCAGTTGATGATATTGAATTCCATTCATTAGTTGCAATCGGCTAGAATAATAATTCAATTAAAGGAACTTGTCGAATGAAATGATCAATGTTCATTTGAAAAATCATCTATACCATTTTGTAGAGTAACTCGTAGCATATAGAAAAAGTTATATTTTCATCAAATTTTAACATTCTGAGCGACTATATAACAAGTGTGGGTAATAAGAAGGAATATTATGACTGAGTATTTTTAAATTTTTTTATACTGTTCCTGAAAGCAAAGGTCGCCAATAATAAAATATTGTCCCAACCAAGTTCTACAAAGATATTAATGGATTAACTTGTAAATTGTTCGCTTTCAGGCCCTTGCATGAGGGTATGAGAATATGAAAAGTCTTCGCCCATTCTTATACATCCGTCAAGGGATATAAAAGTACAACATTTATATTTTCTAATTCCTGTCCATACGAATTAAATAATCGACCGATGTCATTGTAATACACTTCGATTCACAAATCAAAAATTTTAAGGCGTATTATAGCAAAAGAAACCTATTGTGAGGATTATTAGATATACAAATTCGAAAGCTAAATAAGATTTCTATTGTATCCCATAACTGGTAACGGATGATCGGAAAGTTTTTACCTAAGATGTTTGTTCATATTTGACCGTTCTTTTCAAATAGAGCTTTATAAATTTTGTCCCAATCTCACTATTACATTTCCAAACGAAAAATTAGCATATTTATTTATAGGTCAGCTTGTAAACGACTTTTTGAATAAAAAAAATCCTCTTACATTAAAATTAACTCTGAATTTAATCTCACTTAGGTAGAACCTACAGCTTAGTTCAGTATCATATTTTGTACAGAAATGTACGCTCTACAAAACGGTATCGTTGGTTTCTTAAATGACTGGTACAATCATCTTATTCATCACGATCCTTATATTGAAAAAAAAATTTTTTTTTACCATCCATCGAACTCTTATAGCACTTGAATTAATCGCTTGTGCTAATAAAATTTGTGGTACACTTGATGGTACATCGGGTTTTGTTCGAAAGAATTCTGTTGGAATACTTGCATTACTTGTTCCTTTAATATTAACAGCTAACATTCGTATTCGATATAATTTATTAGAATATAAATCACGAATAATTAATTTTGATTGTTCAATATTAAAAGACTAGAAAATATTTTATTAGAATTTATTTTAGTTTTAAGACAAAAACAAAAACAATTTTTTTTTCTATTACTTGAATATTATCCCATTGTGAATTATTACTTCTCATTTGAATTTGAACAATATATCGTAAAATATTTGTTTTACCAGTATAACCAGGTGAAAATTTAATTGTTACCGAACGTTTTTCAATCGAAATAATTTCAAGATTAGTTGGTGGTGATGGCATTTCAGGTGGATAACCTGATTCAATTGATGCTGAACGTTTTGCACCAAAACCTTTTCGTGTCTTTGCTCGAACACTTATTATATACCATGTTGTTGCTGATAAATTATTTATTTTATATGTTGTTAATTCAGGTTCAATTTCAATGATTGAACGATTAGATAAACTTAATTGTGTATTATTCATTTGATACCATTCAAGTTCATAACCAATTAAATGTCCAGTTATTTCAAATGGTTTTTGCCAACTTATATCCAATGATGTATCATATACATTAGAAAAAGTTAAATTTTCTACTTGATCAGGAACTTAAAAAGAAAAAAAAAATTTAGTATAAGAAATGAATAGATATAATTCCATTGATAAGGAAAATTTTTAGTACGTAGAAAAAAAATAAATCGACAATATATTGAAATCATGAATGAAAAATTTACTTATCTTCGTCAAATTTATTTTATTAATACGAAATACATAAAATTAAGAATTGCTCATCTAGGATAATCAACTAACCGAAAAATATTCTATCTTATTTAATTAGTATTTCAGATAGAAATATATTTTTAAAGATACAATATTTTTTTTTTTATTGAGTTTTTAGCTATTTGACGAATTACTTTGATGTGTATATTCGTTTTATAAATTGAGAAAATTATTATTCATCGATTTGTCATTAGTCCGAAAGAAAAATCATTAAATTATCTTATTTAGAGAGATTTTTTTTGAATATAATTAGTTTTTATTTAAGACAAAGAAAACTTATGAAAAATTATTTCATACCATCTTCAAGTGTTTGAACATAGATCATTGGTGATGACCATGGTCCACTACCAATTTTAGTTGCACAATTAATTCTAACTGAGTAATTTGTATATTTTTTTAAATTACTAATAATAAGTTGATAGAATTCAATAGGTTTAGCTTGTTGTTCTTGATATAATGTTATATTTCGATTTAAATCAATTAATTCTATCTAAAATAAAAATAAAAAAAAAAAGTTCAATTATTTAATTTTCTTTTTTTTTTTTTTTACTTTAAATGAATTAAGAATTCCATTAATATACGATGAAGATGGACCGTGCCATTTAATAATAATTGCTGTAGAATTCAGAGGATCATATTGAATAATTGTTGGTGCACGACTTGGTATACCTTCAAGAGTACGAACTTTAATTATTTCACTTGCTGGACCAATACCAACATTATTAACAACAGATACAGATATTAAATATGATTCCCATGTCATTAAATCTAATATTAGAAATACAAAATAAATTTCATTGTTTTTTTTATTATTTATATGAAAATAAATAACCTTTTAAAATATATGATTGTGTTGATGAATTAACACGAATTGATTTCCAATTTAAATTTGGATAATTCAATGCATAATTAATATCATAACCAATTAATTGTCCATTAATACTTGATTCAATTGGTTTTGTATATTCAATAAAAACGGATGTTGAATCACGAGGAATAGCTGTTAGAGACTTAACAGTACCACTTGGAACTAAATTTATAGATAAATTGGTATTTCTTGTTTTTTTTTTATTAATAAATAATCTTACTTTCTTCCGGCAAAGTAACTTTGTCACTTGGAGCACTTACTTGGCCTAAACATAAATAAAATAATTCTTTGTGTTTAAACAGTACTCTATAATTCTATTATATTTGATTAGAATTTCGATCAAATCAAGGATCATTATTAATAAGGCAATGAATAAGCTTATTTCATTGATATTTCTCTAGAGATTGTATTTAACTTTGGAAAGTCGTAATTTTTTTTTTGTTGTGCTATACAGAGAACTATCACATATTCATCTTTCTTCTTGAACACTTATAAAACTGTGAGTATGAAAAGAAAAATGAGAACTCTTTTAAAATCATTCATTTTAATCGATCTTAAAATAACTCGACAAATCTTTTTTAAAAAACAATAAAGTACTTCTGTCACTACTTTTGATAGATCCTAAATAATTTTACATACCTTCTCCTAATTGATTCCAAGCTGATAATCGAAAACTATAAGTTGTAAATGGTCGAAGACCACGTAATAAATTCCAAGTTTTTGTAGAATTTTTTTGTATAATAATATCTTCTTTATTTTCCCATCCTATTTCATCATTTAATGAAGAAAATTCATTTATATCTGATAATGTACTATCTTTCATTTGAATTGTATATCGTTCAATTGGCATATTTCCATCAAAATTAGGTGTCCAAGTTAAATTAACAACAATTGATTTACTTATTGAATCATTAACAAGTGATGCTCGAACAAATGTTGATGGCCACGGTAATTCTATGATAAAATAAAAAGATTTATATCATAGAAAGATTTTAATAATATTGAACTTACCAATAACTATTACTTCTGTTGTACGACTATCATTACCTGCTTCAGATTCAACTTTACAAGTATAATTACCCTATTTAAGAAAAAAAAAAGAACCATACTTAGTCTTTAAATCTATATAAAACTACTTTTAATATCTGTTCTATATGATGAATTTTTTTATCTTTTGTAATTATAAATTATAGCAAAATGAGAAAGATATTCGATAGATTCAATTTCTTCATTATATGAATCCGATTTTCACTAAATATACCTTGATTATTTTGAGATATGCAATGTGAGTTTATCTAAGAAAAATTTTTGTTACTCTATCTCATTCGAAATCTTTGTCATGTTGTGACATAGGATTGATTTGCAAGTCCTATTGTACAGTTCTATTAGCAACGCATTAGTAATTGTCATTGATTTTCTATGTTTTACTACTCTTCTTTTTCTGTGTATAAAAAAGTTCGAAATTAGTTATCGTGTCATGAGAACTTATTATTGTTAAGAATTCTTTAGAAAAATAAACAGAAAATGAAATATAGGCAAAAAATAATTTGACTCAAAAAGTGGTTTGGAAGATCAGATTTTCAGATCAGGTCCGAATTTCTCTCATAAAAAGTCTTAATTTTATGAATATTTCGTACATTCCATAGTGCTTAGTGGTATATAATGTGAATGCGGTTCTTTTCTTCATCTACAATCTCGACAAAATTATCAATATTGATTAGAAAAAAACAGTGAATCAGATGAACATCACTTGATATTGTCTACAAGTCATAAGAAACTTANTTCGATATCAAGTGACTTCTTATTGTAAGAGAGTGCAGACAAATAACTTCCCATCGATACGATAGATACACCGAACCAATGTTGTTGTAGATAGTAGCGAGATCTGTATGCTTCGATGGAAGGAATTTTTCTCTGATTTCAAGTGTCTTCTCAAGATATGGCATTGCAGTGGCGTAATCTTCCTTCAGTCAATACATCAAACCAATTGTATTATAGATATCAGCAAAGACTGAATGATTGGCTGGGAGAGATTTTTGTTGGATTTCAATTGTCTTCTCAAAGTATAATAATGCAGTCGAATAGTTTTCCATCGATTGAGGCACTGTACTAATTTTGTTGTACGTGATTGCGGATGTGGGTGGGGAGGGGGAGGGGCAAGGATAGGTGTGGATGTGTGACTAGATGTCGGGTATGTGCATGGTATTGTCGTCCGCGCGCACACCCATAATCCACATCGCATATCCCCGCCCCTCCCCTACACTTCACATGGACTCTCACACACCGAGATCCACACCCATACCCCACACTCTTCTAGGACTTCGATGATTTATATCAACATGCAAACACTTCAGTTACTATATTCATTCATATTATTTTCCCTGCTTATTAACTCTAACGATTGAATAGTCTAACTTTCGATCAAGCTATGCTTTGTGTTAGATTTTAATAAGAGAAACAAATGAGTCTCGAAGTGAACCGCGAGTTTTCAATAGTTTCATATGCTCAGAAATGTCATTTTTACTTAGGCGGATCAACCAAGTTGGAAAACTAGCTATGAATATAAAACGCATCTCCTATGTTGGAAAAATTTGCATCAATGCAGGAAAAAATGATTGATTACGATTTATTTCAACTTTCCTTTCGAATTTATTTTTCTTTCAGCAACAAGAAAACAAAAAGCGCTGCAACGCAAACTTCTACGGCTGCTGAATGAGTTGATGGTCTTATGCACACCAACATTGCTGCAAGCGGTTGGTTGTACATAGGTGTGAGTTTGAATACAGAGATGTGAACAATCGGGAGGTTCTTCGATTCGCCTACATCTAAATATGCACACGACGAACACTGCCGTCTACTTTTCTACTCGTTGACATCTATTCCTTCATAAGAATAATCTATGTTTGAGAAATATATTAAGCCATTTCCAGTAATACAATAACAAAAGTAAGGTTCAAAACTGGCTGTGATTGGTACAGATTGGTCGTTTTTCACATAGAAAGTGTGTCAGGAAATAAGATATGCCTTTGATCATCTTAAACAAATACATTCACAGTCGATATTTTAATTATTCGAGCAGTCTACATCGATCGAGTTCTGTCGGAGCAACGAATTCATGCCGAATCAATTTCTACCCAATCTGATTCTTCGAACAATGTTGCACTGAAAACTTTATGTTCTTTGAATTTTTTTTTACGTCGTTATGGATTTCTTTTTGCATTGATCGCACCATAAGCAGTGGTGTGCAGAGACAGAATGCAACAACATCATTCACTTTCCACGTTTCTGTATGCTTTCGAAATGACGCTGTTAAAGGAATAAGCAACACCTTTCAACATGGTATTCTGTGAAAACGAAGTACTCCAAAACAAAAGCAAAATGTGAAGCAAATTCAAAAGGAGTCTAATAACAACCATTCAACGGAGGTCGCAATCCACTCCAACAGAAGCTGCTCAATGAATGGTGATCCATTTGGCTACTTTTATATACTTTGTAGCGGCAAGTGTTCAATGAATTTCTACCCTACCTGTTCGCAGAAAAGTTCTTTTGTTCTTGAGATATCTAGATTTTTCTACAGTCATTACCACAGGAGAAGGATATTTTTTGTGATTTTTGTGGCAGGTATATTTTGCCGTAGACATATCTGTCTGGCTTGAAATTTTCAATGTAAAAGGATCACCGATGTGGGTAACTACTATTAAAAATAAGTCCAAATTAGCGAACAGCTAATGGATTTGACCAATAATACTAAGTGCAAAAAAAAAATTTCATTTTTCATTTTTCATAATGTGGTACATATGCATATCTGATGAACGAATCATCGTGAAATGTTGAGATCTTGAGAGGAGAAAGCTTTGAAGTAATTTTCATCCTTGTAAGCTCCTGTCTTTCAGAAGACTCTCGTCAAAACTATGATAATTATAAAAATCCTATTTCTTGAAGTGAACGATCTAGAGGAAAATGTAGTCTGTGTAGGTCGGAGTTCTATGATTTTAAACTATACACTGATTACTAAAACGTTCTCCAAGCAGGGATGCACGGTTACAGTGTTAAAACTGAAGATACCGACACAGGTGTCGCTAGTATATTGCGCATTAGAGTGCTGTCTACATTAGCACACTGAACACTACAACACTGGAGACACTGGAATACCGATCTTTACTGATACAGATTTGCCTGGTATATCAGTAAATGTCGGTATCCCAATGTTCTCCGTACTGCAGTGTTCAGTGTAGCAGTGTAGTCAATGATCAGTGAACTGAAATAGCACATCCATGCCTCCAAGAATCAGTCAGAAAGTCGTACATTGCTCGGTAACATCTTATCATAAAGGTGTTCCAACAATTGATTTTTTTCCATTCTTAATAAATGGAAATCGTTCAAACTTTTAACAGTAAATTTTCTACATATGGACAATTTCCTAATTCAGTTAAAAATAGTATACGGTGTGCTATTAATTCACATACGTCGCTTCGGTCAAAATGTTGAGTTTTTGGTTTCTACCGTATACAATTTAGCGGGGAGAGGAGGTTACATGAATTTTGACCCACGGAATTTTGGACTCAGACTTTTGGCCCGGGCCGAAATTTCAGTCCTTTTTTGGGCCGGATCGAAGTTCTGGTTTCCCATTTACGGTCGACAGTCAAAAAAATTCTCATTTCCGAAATAGTGATATACCTCAAATAGTAGATTACCATATGCTAAACTGTACTTGATTAAGAAATGATTCATGTACACAAATTTTTCTGTTCAATTCAGAACAATGTCATTACATAGAGTATGGAAAAGAAATCATGCAGAGATTGCTTTTTGATAGGACTTTGTCGACTGTTCTACGAGATTCTTGCTCGACTTTTAACACTTTCGTGGCGATAAGATCCACCGGTAGATCTCACTTTATTTTAACGAGAATTTTAGGAGAAAAAAACACTTTCTTTTCTTTTTTTCTTACGCTTGAAGTTACCCATAACGTGTCATCTGCTCTGCTTTTGGTATTTTTCGAATAATTTATTGCATAGTGCAATGCTTTTTGTTAAAACAATTAAGACAAAAAAAATTGTCACAATCAAAACAGAAGGTTTTTATTTTCTTTGCTGCCACCAAGCTCATTTCTCTTGATTTTTATTCCCTGCCTTTTTCATAGCAGCCAATACAATGTTTTCGGGCAGTGGGCGCAGATTTTTCCTTTCCTTTGAGTTTGTGATCAGTGACTTTACGCTTCGAATTACTTGTTGATAATTGTCTCGGATCAGGTTTCAGTTTCTCGAATGGCATACCAATCAGTAAAGATCGTACAAGACTTTCACGAAATTGCAGCACAACCGTGTGGCTTGTGTCATGCTTTTTCTTGTAAATCAAACAGGCATTAACTTTTGCCGTTCCAAATATCAATTCAAATGCTACTTTTTGATGCCATTTTAGAGACCGTCTGAGGCATGCATAGTATGCTGATAGTCGCTCACTCACGTTAGCATGATTACTTCTCAATGTTCGAATAAGATGCGCATCAATTTGCAACAAACGTTTTCCAAGAGAAGTACTCGAAAAGAAGTTGTCAACTACTACTACAGTTCGAAATCATCCCGTAAGATCGTCCACAAAATCCATTACGACCGTTTGAATGTGCTCTATACCAGCCATTGGATCCTGTTTACCAATATAAACCATAAAATTCCAAGTGTATCCATTCTTATCCGCTACTTAGTATACCTTCACACCATATTTGTGCGATTAGCCAGAAATGTATTGTTTGAAGAGAAGTCTGCTTTTCCATGGTACCATAGTGTCATCGATAGTGATAATTGAGCCAAGAATATTAATCGACATAAAGATGACTTTCAATAAATCTAAAAGTGGCTTCAACTTGAACAGTCTAACTTAATTTGCATGCTTCTCTTCCTTGTTTGAAAAACGGTAAAACTTGAGAATTAATTCAAATATATCTCTCGACATTGTATTTTGAATGACTTCGGATTCACAGAACTTGATTTTTCTTCAGTATTAGTCCATTTGCGGCATTTGTACCAACCCCGTATCCATAATAATTCCCAAAAATTTGAAGTACTTTCTGCCCATTGTAACTCTTTGAGTATCGGTCTACTTTATACAGCATACATTTTATAAGTTTCTGAGGTTTCAATAACTCACGAACGCAAAAAGATATCAAGATGTGGTTTTCTCTGTAGCATAAGAGAGACATCAGTGCATACGTTAATATAAGAGCTACAATCCAAATGAGTTCTACAACAGTGCTCAATCGAGTTTTTAAACCACGCCTATTCTCTCTCACATAGATGACCAAAATATTTCCATGCCATACCCCTGTGAGAATACCGGAATGGATCGAATATGTTTCTGAAGATTTTTAAAAAATTTGGAAGAAGATATCCACAATCCAGACTGATTTTAAGAAATATAAGATTCGAAAGAAATTTCGTCCTTTAGTTAAGTAATGGTATTCAAAAGGATAAAATGATGCAACTCTGAATCCTTTAGAGTAGATTTTTCTCTAGATTGATTCTTCCCAAAATCATGATTGTCAGTACAATATAGATTTTGGCGGATATCCTCTGAATGACAAATTCTTACTAGAATGAGCACTCATTCAGGTCTATCTCTCTCCTCAAAATCTCAAGATTTTAAAATGCTCCGTTTATGAGCTGTGTATTTTCATAAAATAATGAAAAATGACATAATGTGGTTGGATGTGAGTTTACGATCGGATTGAATATGGAATCAGTAGGGGACACAGTTTGGATATGTAATCTATGTAAATCTCAGTGTTGGCGTTGGTTTCGAAACGATTCATATGACCATCCTCGTGTACATCCATACCCACTTCACCCACAACCAGCGCTACTGTAACATCTCGATGTGAAAAAGTGTTGATTGGAATTTGAGAGATTTTCAAACACTTAAGCGGCGAATTTTATCATGAACAGTACAACTCTTTGTGCTTCTTAAGAATCTCATTTCGATCGTTGCCCATTGAAATAGGGATATGAGTGTCGGTATTTGTATGAAAAATTTTAGAAACCATCGATTAGTGTTCGACTTACACGTACACACACTTATAATACGAGCTATTGGTGCGAGATATTATTTAATAAATGAAACAGGTTAATAGTTTTTCATGTTTCAAGTTTGCACAAATTAAATCAGCAGATATTTCTCCTGTGCATTTTGATACTGATTTTAGATTAAATTTCATGAAATGATTCAATATGTCTGATCATATTTTAGAAGAATCATTGGCTGAACAGGCCGGTAAGATGATGTTAAAACTCGGCTGTAACGAAGAGCTGATTATTTACTATATTTTAGAAAACACGAATGCTGCCGAAGACGAATTTTGCTTGATTCGCTGTTCGGATAAAAGTGATTTTGATATTGTGCCTCAACGGTGTATTAGAACTCCATCGAATACAATTGAAACGTATGAAACTTACCGAGTCGAGATCAATGGAAATCAGTACGAAGGAACTGTTATCTTGAAAGGTATCCATATTTTTTTAAAACTCAAGATTTGTATTTGAATTTGTATATAGGAACAAAACGAGACTGTGAAAGACTT